ATATGCAGCTGGAACTCTTGTCTGGGGACATGTTTTTGACAAAACTGTGAGTGTATCTAATTCATTTAAATTATTGTATTTATACACATAAATCTTTTTTATAAACATGAATTAATATATTTAACTTAAAATCTAACCAGTATGTTTGATTAAAAAGCAAAGAACATTTCAATTTTGATAAATGTTGATATTTAGTTTTCAGAAATGCATTTACAAACTGGCACTTCATCCAAAAAAAAAATACTATTTGCACCAAATCTCCGTTAAATTAAAACAGACTTTCATTAAACTTATGTTTTTGCTTTCCAGCCTGATTCTTGCTTTCCATTATATATATCCAGCATTGTCTGCATAACTACTTTATTATTTCTTGGACCTGCACCTTTTATTCCTCTGAAAATGTAAGTTTAATCACACAGTATACATTATTACTGTTATGTGTTTCCAAATCTCGTGATGTGTTTTATTTTTCAAACTTTTTTTCTCTCTATGTAGTCCAGGAAATACATTTAGAGGCTTAGATATATTTTTAGTTGTAAGTTCCTCTAACTTATTTTCTGCCGTTAAAGTACTGATCATAAAATGCTCTTTATGCTTTATACTGTGTTACACCTTGCATCAGTTTCAAAGTGGAAGATGCATGTAAAAACTTCTTTTAAAAAACAACAATAACAACTAAATATATCATTAAAAAATCTAATCATAAAGAACACAATTGAAAAAATAGAGAGTAATTTAATAATTGTATTGTAGTATATCTCATAAAAATTATTTAGGCACAAATAATACATTGTTCTTAATCAACTCTGAAAATACAAATACACTTTCATATAAGTTTCCTTGCAAAAATTAAGTTGTATCAACTGTAAAACTAAATATTCAGCAACTGATAACCTACACTCAGAATTTTTAGATCATATGTTCTATTCTAATTTTATTTGAAATTAAAAACAATAATAAACAGGCTATGATGAAGAACTGTCACAAAACATGGTAATAGGTATCATCAGTTTTAGGCCC